GAAAGAGTGCCAGTGGTGTAAAACTTCATTACAAAGGAATACCATTTCATAGGATAATATCTGGTTTCGTAATTCAGGGTGGAGATATTGTTCATCATGATGGAAGAGGATATGAATCCGTTTATGGCAGCACCTTTCCTGATGAGACTTTCAAGACAAAACATTCACATGCTGGTCTGTAACAGATATACTTGGATGCAAGCATTTTTCTTCATTATTGAGGTGTACGTTTAAGTTGTGTGCATGTAAATCTACTTCACGGTTGCAGGTGTTGTCTCCATGGTGAATTCGGGTCCTGATTCCAACGGCTCACAGTTTTTTATCACTACAGTGAAGGCCAGCTGGTAAGTTATTCCGCCGTGCATGCAAATATGTTCAGTTAATGGTATAGTTTATTTTCAGTATCACTTCGGACCATCTATGTCAGAAGCTAGGTTGTTACAATTTGTGGTGAACAGTTTGCTTTTTTTAATATTTTTGTGTGTGGAAGCCATGCTACTTTCCTTCAGTAGAATTTGGCCAAATGTTATTTTATAATGTTGCATGCAAAAACTAGACAATTTACTACAAGTTATAGATTCTCTATTTTTTAATCCATAAGAATTACAATAACAGTAAAAAGTTTCAAACCTAGGACCTAGTTATAGAGTCTGTAGTTATGATAAATTGATGTCAATTGGCTAGCAAACTTTGCAGGTTAGATGGAGAACATGTTGTGTTTGGCAAGGTTGTCCAAGGCATGGATACTGTATTTGCAATTGAAGGGGGTGCTGGAACCTACAATGGGAAACCCAGAAAGAAGGTAGTGATTGCAGACTCTGGAGAGATACCCAAGAGCCAGTGGGATGAGGAAACATGAGCTCCCTGGTTGAAGCGCTAATAAATTATTCGACAGTTGAAAAAATGGATTACATGTTTTATATTAAATTTCCACCGTAAAATGTTTAGGAAATCTCACGGGTCAGTTTCCCCCACCCCCATGAAACAGTTTTATGCACTTTATTTTTTCTTTCCAGATCCAGTTCATTACTTTCCTTAGCTTTGCTTATTGTATTTCACATATTAGATTAAATGTGTAAAGTTGATTTTTAAAATTTTTGTTATTATACATATAATTTTGATAGTTTAAAATTTCTATTTTACAAATACTTTTTTGATAAATTAATAGACTTGCAATAAAAAAAATTAAAAGATGAATAGTAAACTTAAATATTATTTGCTAGTATTTTATTTTATGCAGGGGTGGATGTCTAATGAAGGTGGAAGGGATGATGAATAAGAATGTTATTTTTCCGACAAATTAACTGAACATACCAATGGCCTTTTAGGCAATTTTGTGATTTTTACCGGTTAATTAAAAAGTCAATTTTATTGTAACTGTATATTTGTTTTTATGTGAAGATGCAATTTATCTATAATAATATTAAAACTAGTTTACTTTTTGTTAAAAAAAACTAGTTTACTTTTGCATTGTGGTTTTTAATCACATCAATCTACAGTTAAAAAGTGCATCATCGTAAGTATGATATGTCTGATACAAATTAATTTACAAGTAATAAATTTAGAGTTAAAAAATTAGAAGCTTATAAATTAACTAATTGAATCGAGAATTTTTAGTAAGATTAGTTGATAAATTAGGTAATAAATATAAAATAACATGAAAGAATGATGAGATAGATAAAATAATTTTTAAATTAAAAAATATCATAAATAAATTAATTAATGAAGATTAAAACAAGAAAGAAAAAATTAAGAATATATAAACTACAAATTATTTCAATTAGCTTATAAAAATTAATTATAAACTCTTCAAATAAGTTTATATGAAGATACCAAAAGTTTGTTTTGATTTTAAAAAAAAAAAAAAGAGAGTTTATTTTAGTAAAGCTAGAGAACTTATAAACATCTGAAATGTATAACTAAATACACTCTTAAATTGTCACAATTAAATATCATAAATATGTCTCGATTATAGGAATTCAAGTACTTGTAAACAAAATTGGTGGCGTTTTGTAAATATGTGGAAGTAAAATTTCTAAAAGTACGATTAAGTCAAATTAAAAATATTTTTAGAATAAAATAATAAAAAAATTGAATCTATGTATCATTTATAACAATATATAAAAATGACGGGATGTGTTTTTTGACATAAATTTAGACTCTTTTTTTTCATAACTAGTCTTTTATTATCTCTTTTGTATTATCCATTTTATTTAATTTGTCCAGTACAGAAAATAAATAAAGAAGTGGAGAGAGTAAAAAAGTATAAGATAAGGAGGACAAGAGTGTAAATAGGAGGGAAGATGAATGGCATTTGAGGAGGTAAAGTTTATATATAGCCTATAGGTAATTCGTCCAGCTGGTGGTCTGGTCTCCATTTACAGTTTGAATTAGTAGGAGTAGGAGAAAATGGCGATGGCCTTCAAGATGGTAATATTATGTTGTGTTAGCTTTGTTTGTCTTTTATATATCTTGTGAATTATATATATATAGTTCTTGATTTGTGTTTGCTTGTTAAGGCGACCACCGGAATGTGGGTGACGGATGAGTGCAAGAGCTCCTTCATGGACATGAAGTGGAAGAAGGAGCACCGATACATTGTCTTCAAGATCGACGAAGGATCAAGGCTCGTCACCGTCGATAAACTCGGCGGCCCCACTGAGGGCTACGATGATCTCACGGCCTCCTTGCCCTCCGATGACTGCCGTTACGCTGTCTTCGACTTCGACTTCGTCACCGTTGATAACTGCCGCAAGAGCAAGATCTTCTTCATTGCATGGTAGTGCTACCCTTTTATATAGCATACAATACAAACTAATTATGACTTATGTCTTATAATTAATTCATCAGGTCTCCAACCGCATCAAGGATTAGAGCAAAGATTCTATACGCAACCTCAAAGGATGGGCTGAGAAGAGCGCTTGATGGAATCAGCTATGAACTCCAGGCCACCGATCCCACCGAGATGGGCTTCGATGTAATTAGAGACATAGCCAAATAGTTTATACTTTATACTTAATTTTTTCTTCACATCTGTTTCCGTTTTAACTTTTAATTCAGCAGCTCCCATCGCATATCTTCTCTTTCCTCGTTTTCTAAAATAGCTTTATCGTCTACTTCACTGGCTGTGGCTGGCATATTCAATATTCAATGTCATGTGTATGTAAGTGGGACATGTAACCTTAAAATCTTAATAATATACAATATCTACTGTCGTTACCCCACCCCATGTATGTCCCTGTGTATCAACTATCAAATACTAGTTCAAACCCCAAAAGGTAACTACAAACCTACCTTTTGGTTGTAATCCCACGACTATGAAAATGAGTAAGTAAATCTTGGCTAGACATAATACTCAACACGTACGTACGTCACTTTTGGATCATGTTTATTATTATAATTAAGGTAATCATGATCCAGAGTTTAACAGTGGAATTTTTTAATTAAAAAATTGTTATCAATTTATTTTTATAAGACATTTCTAACAATCTTTTTTTCTAATAATTTATTTTTCAATCCTTTAATTAAGGAAATGAGTAACAAAATCATTATTGTTGATTTTGTCGTTATTGGTGTGTAATGTGTTACCTAATTTTGACATAAAAATTTGGACAAAATGCATAAACATATGCTCTAAGATATATTTAACAAATTACACACAATACTTTTCTCATTTTTAACATTACACAAATTTTCCTCAATCTGAAAATTGAGTAGATCATCTAGATCCTAATAATTGAAGTATATGAAGGGTTGTCATGTCAGTGATTCACAATCGTGGGTCACACCTTCACGTACTATATACAGTTTGCAATGGGGGAGACGATAAACCCCTCTAATGTGTTACCTAGATATAGATCTTTTCTGGTTTCAACCTCTAATTAAGGCCAAGGTACGTGTGAGTGTGTAGAGATCTTACACCATTTAGTGGTCAGCATTGAGTTCACTCAATTAATTCGACCTGACCCTAGTTACAATTACAAATATTGAATGTAATGGGTTGGGTTAATGAATTGGATTCATTTAAAAATGGCTGAACCAGAAACAATTAATATATTTATTTGTTTTAATTTTTTATTTTATTTATTTCGTATCACTTTAATATATTTTAAATAAATACAAAATGGCATTGATGAAATTAAATAAGGATAATTTTTTTTTGTGTTGGTAAATCAAACCTTCTAAATTTCTAATTAATTAAAAAAGTAATATTTTAGTTTGTGAGTTACACAAGATAAATGTTTATTTATATATGACTAAAATTCATAATAAAGAAATTGAATTCACAATAAAAAAATATATATTTTCTTCCTATCTTATGAACTTTAACGTAGATGACATGTCATTTCCTAGCTTATATTTCAATTTTTGTATCTTGATAGAGTTGTGGGTGTAGTGTGTAAAATGCATATATAAAGAATATAAGTTGAGAATATCCAATTGAGTGAGAATTTAGAGCATCACTCTCTTTATTCTCTCACTAATTAAAAAAATATAATATTAATATATATATATAAGTAAAAAATAATAATTATAACATTCAATTGAAAATAAATTAAAATGAAAAAGACACATAAATCAGAGGAGTGAAAGAATCATAGATAATGAAACTCACGTCTCAAATAAAAGTATATTTATATAGAGATTAAAAAAAATAGATAGATAGATAATAGTGATCAATTTGAAATAGTAAAGAAAGTGAATGACTAAATCTTTAAGTTATAAATAGGGAATAAATTTTACTTTAAGATTTTTACAGTTTTAAACTGGTTTTTATATTTTAAGAAACATTTTTAGAATTAAATAAATCACTCTAATGATCGATTCCCGATCTAATCTACCTACCTTATCTGGTATACTTTTTTTTTATCCATGCTTATCTTGTATATATGAAAACATAAGAATCCAGCTGAAGGGAACAACCTATTCATTCAATTTGGGCTAGAGTAGTCTTAACGAGGATATACTACAATAAGCATTTTCCAACCCACTAAAGGCTATCACAGTTTTGTATCTAAAATGAAATACTTTATTTCATTTTTATTTTGGAGCTACACCTAGGCATGGCAACGGGGCGGGGCAGGGCGGGTTTTACGTTCCCCGCCCCCGTCCCCGTTCCCGATACCCGCCGGAGATAAAATCTGGGTCTCTATCCCCGCTCCCGGCGGGGTTCAGGTTTCCCTGCCTTGCTCCCGTCCTCGTTTCTATTTTTTTTCTTCTTTTTTCTTTTAAATAAATATGAACAATTTTAAAAAAATAAAAGAAAAGTAAAATAATATAAATATTTACATATAAATATTTCTATTTTTGATTTATATATATATATAAATAATTTTTTAATTATATTATTAAGATTTTATCCATCGGAAAAAACCCGAACTTGATAAACATAGATTTTTCTCATCCAAATCGAAACAGGTTTGAGCCGCAGAAACAGGTTAGATTACCATGCCTAGCTACACCTTTTATGTCAATTGGGTCTTTTGATAAATACTCACATCATGGTGCCTAAAAAAACCTTACTTTTTTAGACACTAGCATCTACGACACGGTGGGGAAAAAAAAAAAAAGAAAAAAAAAACCCTCACATTTTTAAACACTGACATGTGGTTGATTCAAATAAAATAAGGTTTAGATATAATTTAAATAACATAAGATTGAGTCTTGTAAATAAAATAAAATGCAATTGAAAAAGAATATTTTATTAAAGTAATCAATCAGGTCTCTTGGTTAATCATTAATAAAATTGATAAATAATTCACATTTGTGACATGATGACAAAAATAGCTTCATTTTTAATAAATTTGTTATGATAAAAGAAGTATTATGATTATAAGGTAAGAGACCGAAAAAAAAAATATTAAAGAGTCCATATGATTTATTTCAAAATTTCAAATGTTAGTTTGATCTGAAAAGGAAAAAATAATTTATTCACTTACGGTGTAAAAAAATTTACACTACCGTAAAAATACAATTTGATATGCATAGATGATAAGTTTGTTTTTTTTTTATAATAACTAAAAATTATATAAATTATAATTTATAATTAGTTAACGGTATAAATTATTTTATTTTGACAATCTTAAAAATTAAATTAATCTCAAATTATGTCATTGATATAATAATAATAATAATATATCTTTGTTACATAAAAAATAAAAATAATTAGCTATTTTTATTAATTATACAAAAAAAAATTATGAGAGTTTTTTTTGAAGAATTTTATCTTAAATTATAAAATTAATTTATAATATTTTTATGAGTTATTTTTAAGCTTAATTTTAAACAATATCATTTAGATATTAACTAAAAACCTATTTTATATCCTAAAGGCGAGATTTGACCTCATATCATATCCTATTACAATGTGAATTAAAATTCACTTGTAATTATGAAGATTTTGATGATATCTAATGAATAATACGTAAGTACTTCAATAATTATTTTTGGAATTTTGTCATGAAACTAAATTCCTAGTGCACTTTGAAATCTAACTCATCTAAGCTTCATAATAAAATAAAATAAATAAATAAAACTTACTTGATAAAGTTTTAATATATTAATATCAATAAAAGTAAGCATATATAAAATAAAATATGATTTTATAATGACAATATAGTATTTATATTTGACTCACTTCGTAAATTAACTCAAATTTGACATATATATTTTTTTTCTTAATTTGAATTCAATTTGGTTCAAGTTTAGTAGTAATTCAGTTCAATTCATTAATTCAAATTACATGAATCAAGATTTAATTTTTTTTTTGATATTTACATATTTCAAAATTTTAATTTAATAATAAATTTTAGATAAAATAATTATTTAATTTAAAAAAAAATAAAATATAACTTATTCTATTAACTTTTATAAGGTTTCAATATAAGACATGACTCCAAAAAATATATAATTACAATGAAAATCTTTATAAATAATGTCACCTTATGTAAAATAATAATAATGAATAAATAAAAACTCAATGCATTACCATAAAATTTTAAAATATTTATTTACTTATTATTATTATTATTAATTTGTAATTAAGTTTTAAAGATTTTTTTAAAAATTTTAATAAGTTAAACTTAAATAAAAAGATAACTATATAAATTATATTTTTATATATTAAACCGAATTACAAACTGAACAAATTAAATTTATTTAATTTATAAAATAAATTTAAGAAATGAATTATGAAATAAAATTTAAAAGTATTTTGGAATTGTTTGAATCGATTTCCATGTCTACTCCAGGAAGAATAATTGAGAAATGTTGATCTGAGTGAACTTGTGTTGTGTGGCGTCAAATCGTACCTATGAAACTACGGACAACATGAACTTTCCAGCACAGATAAACAGAACAAAATTGAAGGATGACGTCATCATTGAACCAGCAGTTACGGGGCAGGACCCGCAATTGGCCGTTACAGAACAACACCCGCCGTGATCAACGTGCCTGTCTAATCTTCAATCTGCATCGTCCATCTCCGCACATCATGCTTCACTTTCTCTAACTAAATTATGATTCCACCTCCTTAAACAATTTCCCAACCGTCCGATCGTTTAATTATGCATCTCCTACGTTTAACTCAAATAAATTCTATATTCCAGTACAACCAAGTTTATATATCGCTTTCTCTTTTTCTGTATTTTTCTCGGGCGTTTAAATTGTTATTTAAAAATAACATTTTTAAAAAATATGATTTTTTAAATAATCTTATTTTAGTTTATCAAATTACTTCTATAAGAGGTGAGAAATAAATATTTCTAAATTAAGAATAAAATTTTATTTATTTAATGCAGTAATAATTTTTAAATAATAATTATAAATATTCTTTTATGATTAATTAAACAAATTTTGATCATTCTTAAAAATTATAATTTTCAAAATTTATGTTTTTCATAATCATAATTTCCTTTTTTTTAAAAATTCGTGTAACAAACAGTCTTGTAAGGTTATTTATCTAATTAGATAAGAGTTGAACATTACGTGACCAAACTTTATTGCAATATGGCAATAAAAGTATAAAACATTATTAGGCGAGGCTACAAATTCTCATAGACAGAAACAAAGTGCGTGAAGTCCTTACATTGCCTCCGTCAGATAACTCATAATAATTTCATGATACGATATGCGGTTTCACCATAGAGTTGCTGGTCAAATTTAAATAAACTTATTATCTAATTTAATTAAAATTTAATGAGTTGAGTCGAATAAAATTTATTTTTTTAT